CTGATTTTAGGAAAGATAAAAGGATAAGGGTCACTAGTAGTTCATTATTTGTCATTTTTGTTTTGTTATTCAAGTTTTTGATTTAAACAAATTTTGCTAGATTGAGTTTCATAAAAAAAAATTATTATTATTATTATTACTATTATATGGCAAACTAAAAAATTGAAATTAGTAAAAAATGATAATAATAATTATTGAATTTCAAATAATTTACAATATTATCTAATATATGGCAAACAAAAATTATGAAACTCTTAGAAAATAATAGTCAGTGTGTTTGATTTGAGTTTTCTGGATTAAATTTTTTGAAAACTGAGTTTTTTTATTTTCATATCCTTTTGTTTTTAGTGAATATTTTTTAAATTTTAAACATTTTTTTTTTAACTTTTTTAGATGCACTATCTAAAAAGTTAAAAAAGTAAAAAATTTGTGAAAAAATATTTTAAAAAATTAATAAATACATAAAAATATAAAAAATGTACTGAATTCTTGTATTTTTTTGATATTTTTGGTATTTAGTGAATTTTTAAAAAAAAAATTTACAATTTTTTTACTTTTTAGGTGTATTTATGTTAGGTGCGTTTAAAAAGTAAAAAAAAATTGCTTAAAATATTAAAAAAATTCAGTAAAAACAAAAAAACACGAAAAATAAGAAAATAAAATTTTCTGAAAAATGAAAACAAGCAAGTTGTGTATTTATATTTTATCATAGGTGTAGTTTTTGTTCCTAAAAATAAAAATTGAAAAGTGCAACTTTATAATTTATCATAATTTTGTTTAACTTTTATTAATTACATTATGATTCATGTCATTATTATTTTGAACTTAAAACGAAAAGAAAGAAAAAAAAAACATAAGCAAAATTGTGATAAAAATAGTTAAAATTTAATTAATTATATTTTTTTACTACTTAATTTTAATTTTAAAATTGACTATTAATTATTTATTTGAAATCGTACATAACACGGGTATTATATTATTAGAAAATTATACAAAGTGATGAGTGTTTTTTTTTTTTACCAAACTAATTTTTTGTTTTCCGAAAATAGTTTTTGACAACTCGGTAAAAGATGTATATTTTTTTAACTTTTTTATTTGTACAAAGCAAATAATATGTAGTGATAGGTAGTTTGTCTTGGTGAATGTAGACGAACCAATATCTGAATGTAGAATAGAAAAAGGGGAAATTACCCTTTATGATGGTTTTTTAAAAATTATAACACATTACTAGAAAAGTTTATAATTTAAATAATTTTTTGGATAAATTACAAATAAATATCTTGAGATTTGCTTAAAATACGAATTGTTCCCTGTGGTTTGAAAAATTACAAATACCTCCCTGTTAAAAATTTTTATTTAACAAAATTAATTGAAAAGTGAAATTTCGAAATGTTCACCTATATAATAATAAAATTATCTGAATTATTAATTGAAATAAAATTTCAACATGATTAAAAACTGTTAATTAACTTGATGATTTATTAATAAAAATATCTATTTGTTATGAAATTAGAAACCTTAAGAGGCATAATGTAATTTCTAAAACTATAAGAGATAATTTATAATTTAAATAAACTCAAGGAGTGTGTTTGTAATTTATCCTTTTCTTTTTTTTTTCTTTTGATAGAGAGTGTAATTTCTTCTAAAAAATTATCCTATTTGGTAGTTTAAAAGTATTGTTTAATTGTCTCATAATATTCATAATATTTATTTAAAATAGGTGTTTAATTGTCTCTGAAAAGAGATAAAAAAAAATAATAATACTCCCTCCGTCCCATAATATTAGTCCCTTATTCCATTTTTCATTGTCCCAAAATATTAGTTAATTTCTTCTAAAAAATTATCCTATTTGGTAGTTTAAAAGTATTGTTTAATTGTCTCATAATATTCATAATATTTATTTAAAATAGGTGTTTAATTGTCTCTAAAAAGAGATAAAAAAAATAATAATAAATTCTACTGATTCAACTAATGACAGTAAAGTTATAACATCACGTCATCTTGTCCCAAGAGCATGTCCAAACCATGTCTAACAAGAGGATTGATTTTTATTTTATTTTATTTTTTTGAGCTTCTTGTCTTTTATCTATTTTCATGGAATCTTAAAAAGAAGAGATAGCCGTGAATGCTTTTACTAACTTTATTCAACATTTTTGCAATTTGAATTCAAAAGTCAACATTTATTTATATTTTCCACGAGTGACTTTTTTTAAGAATAATATTATGGATTATAAAAAAATATTATACAAAATTTTTATCCTTTGATTAGTGTGATGTTTTATTGTATGTGAAATCTAAAGATAAAAAATCTTTTATGATCATCTTTATGAAATTTTTTTCAAAATTTCTACCATTTCTCCTTTTTTTTAACTCTGTTAATGGCGGTAAAATTGTGAAAGAAAGAGAAAAACATTGTGAAAATAATAAAAAAATTTCCATTAATATATATAAGAGGAGTTGTACCGGGATGGATGCCCTTCGAACCAGTGTCTGATGATTAGAACATATTAGAAACCCAAACAATTGATGTATATTTTCTTTTCCTAAATATATATATATATATATATTTGTTTTTGGTACATATACACACACTTGAAATTCAACGGTTCTCAATGTTGAACATTTCAAACGTGCTGCCAATTTAAGAATGTGCGCTTCAAAAGAAAAAAAGAAAAAAAAAATTAGAATTTTGTTTTTAGTGTTCATTTAAAAAAATTATACATTTTACATAAAAATACATAAATAAAAAATATAAAACATTTTATTTACATCATTTAGCAAGGACGAATCCCAACACTAGAGAGTAGTCTAGTAATTGGACTAGAGGATGGTTCAATTGTGAGCCTTGTGAGTTCACGTTGAGCTCATTTTAGTAATTCAAATGTTTTGTTTTGTAACACTTGTGAAGTAGATTATATATTTTAGTAATTCAAATGTTTTGTTTTGTAACACTTGTGAAGTAGATTATATACGTGAAAATTCAGATTGATTGAATATTCGTAACAACATAATTGGATTAAATTCAAATTTATATTTTTCTTACGAGACACAAGAAACAATCCACATCATCAAAATGGACCCAATGTAAGCCCACAACGCCTCAACTACCAATCGAAAGCCTGGTCCAAAACTAAAATAAGTAGACTAATAGGTGGAATGATGTACACCATTACATGTGATGCTTTCTTTTCTTTTTATTCTTTTTTTTCAAAAAGTAATATAGAAAAATAGGTGAAATAATGTATCAAAAATAGTGGCAAGGAATAAATGAAAACCAAGGGATGGATAGGAAGGAGGTGGAGGAGATGGAAGGGAAATAAAAGTAACACACGTGGAGGGAAGGCATTGAAAGAGAGTGAAAGTAGGGAAGTTATGGCATTGGAAAGGGAAAAGAAGCATGAGCAAGTGGTCGAAAGAAAGAAAAAAATGTTGCAAGTGGTGGTCCGAAAGGGGCTAGGTAGGTGGTGAGGAAAGCGGCCAGGTGAAAAGGGGTTGAGAGCTATTAGAGAGGGGGTTAAGGTGGTTGTCAAAAGTTGCAGTAGTGGTGGTGGGCAGTGGTCGAAAGAGGAGAATGTGATGGTTCAGAATAGGTAGAGAGAGAAATAAATTTTAAGATTTTGTCCCTTTTACGCTGTATTTGGTTGGAGGATTTGGGGAGGGATTTGGAAAGAGAAAGGGAATAGGTGTGTAAAACTATGTGAAATGTAGGCATATTTTTTTCACATTTCACCTACCTTTTCCATTTCTCTTTCCAAATCCCTCAACCAAACACAGCATTAATGATTTTATTTATGGACAAAATAGCATTAAAAAAATATGAATGGTGGGGGTATCCAACAATATTGCATTTAGAGGCTACCTAACTTTTGTATCTTTTTCCTATCATTAAATTACAGATAATATAATATTATACAAACAAAATTTATACGGAATATTATGTTTCATTTACAATCATTAATTAAAAGTCAAAATATTTATCATTTTAATTCATTATTATAAAATATTATTATCATATCATTCTCATCTTAATTTTTATATAAAATTTATTTAAAGACATGATTTTCCTTACATCATTCTTGTCTTTACAGGAGGTCTTTAGTAATATGACTTTTCTTTTTAGAGTTGTTAAATTTACTCCCAATAATTCATTTTGGTTGCATTCAACTGTCACAATAATGCCTTTGCCCCCATGACTACATGCGTTCCACTGATACCGACTCGTCACAAATGCATTTTAATAATTGAAAGGATAAATTATAATATATTTTTAAAAACTATAATATATTTGCATTTTTTTTTTTAAATTTCAAAACTCAATAGTTAATTATCTTGAAATATTATCTTGTTACGAGTAATCCTTTATGTTAGGATTTTATTATGAATTTAAACAAAATCATATTAGAGTTATGTTAAGGATACCAAATAGTTTATCAAATTTTCTACCAAATCTCTTACATGGATGTGGGACCCACATACATGTGGATTTATGTGGGTCTCACATTTGATAGAAATTTTGATAAATTATTTGGGGTCCATAATATTTTTCATCTTCTCATCATATTATATTTATTGAGTTTTTAAGGCAATAATACTCTTATATGGTAATTTCATTTGCAATTTGTTACTAAGATTATGGAGACAAAATGCAAATAGAATAGACTTTTTATGAAATATGGGTTGAGTATGGGTTGGGTTTGAAGTGATGTGGTAAAGAGATGATATGACTTAAATAAGATAATGTGACTTAAATAAGATAATGTGACTTAAATAGGATAATGACTTTTTGACTTTTTTAGGAGATGCCAAACAAGGCTTTAGTTAAATCCTGAGACAATTTTAACAAAAGACGTTAAATGTAACAAAATAATAGTTTAAAATGGTTGACTTTAAAATTCTAGAAAACAAAATGTAATTAAATCATAATTTAAAGATATAATTTTATAATTTATCCTACTGGCATTGATGAGCTTGGATTGCATACAATAAAAGGCTTGGCTTAAAAAACTAGCTGCAAAAAAAAAAAAATTTGGCAAATGGGCACCAAAAACACAACTTTTCTTTCACTCCAATTGCTCTTGTTTTTCTTAACAATTCCATCATCAGAATCTGCAACTGATACTTTAACTCAGTCCCAACCAATCTCAGTAGGACAAACCCTCATCTCCGCCGGCGAAATCTTCGAGTTAGGATTCTTCTGTCCCCAAAATTCTCAGTAGGACAAACCCTCATCTCCGCCGGCGAAATCTTCGAGTTAGGATTCTTCTGTCCCCAAAATTCCAGTGGCCGATATATTGGCATATGGTATAAAAACTTACCCGGCAGCAAGGTTGTGTGGGTTGCTAACCGGAACAACCCTCTTCGAGCCACCGACACTGCCTCGAGTCTCACAATTGGCATTGATGGAAACCTTAGACTAGTAGATGGACAGAGAAACACAGTCTGGTCTACAAATGTTTCTGTCCAATCAAACAACACAATTGCAGTCCTCTCGGACAAGGGAGAGCTTGTTATCAGAGACTATGTCTCGGGTTGGATCTCATGGGAAAGCTTTAAGTACCCGAGCGACACGTTCTTGTCCGGGATGATGATAGGAATGAACTACAAAACGGGTGAAAAGCAGTTCCTGACTTCGTGGAAGGCTGACGACGACCCATCCCCAGGAAAGTACATGCTCGGGCTGACGCCCGAGACACCAGCACAGGCTTTCCTGTGGAACGGGTCTGAGCCTTTATGGAGAAGCGGACCATGGGACGGGTCCAAATTTATTGGGATACCAAACCCGGTGCAGGGCTATGTGAATGGACTCAATCTCATACAGGATAACCAACAGGGAAATGTGTATCTGAGCTTGAATGTTTACAACACCTCTTATATCACAATTGTATTCATTACACCTACAGGGATTTTAAAATCACTGGTTTGGGATCAAGTGAAAAGGGACTGGTATGTCAGTTGGAAGGCACTGGAGAACCCGTGCACGGTCTACGGAGTTTGTGGTGATTACTCAATTTGCGACAAGAACCGGTCTCCGATTTGCAGTTGCTTGAGAGGGTTCGTGCCGAGCTCGGATGAGGATTGGAGGAGAGGGAACTGGAGTGGTGGGTGTGTGAGGAAAACTGAGCTCGAATGTCGAAAAAACTTGACAGAGGGAGGGGGTAAAAATGATGGGTACTGGAAGGTGAGTGGGCTGAAATTGCCTGATCGATTTCAGTATTTGTACAGTGACGATTTCTCGAGCTGCCAACAATGGTGCTCGAAAAACTGTTCTTGCGAGGCCTATGCGTTTGTGACTACAATTGGGTGTATGGTTTGGGCAGGAAGGCTCACTGATGTTCAACAGTTCACTGCGGTAGATGGGTATGACCTTTTCCTGCGGCTTCCATATTCAGAGCTGGGTAAATTTAATTCTACCTTGTCTGACGTTTTTATTTTTTATTTTTTATGTTTTGGCTTTGGTACGAGAGAAAATAAAAATTATATAATTAATTTATTTAAATAGAAAATGTTTTTCCATCTTGTTAAGTTCAAAAGTTTTCCAGAATAATGTTTAACCAATGTCACCACCTTACAATCACCACCACCTCCTCCACCACCGTCAGTGCCACCAACCTACCAGCACACACTGTCACCATCCATGGTTCTAAAGATCAACCTTTATGAAAAATCTAGAAATCCCCTAGATGTTGATTTTTGATTATGTATCAATTTGCGAAGTGGCAATCTTGAAAGCATTAACATCACAAACTTCTCTGCATGGTTCGATTCGGGTTTGGATTCGCATCTAATAAACTCATAGCCTCACTGAAATAAAAGTGCGAAAATAAATACATCTAAAAGGAGTTTTGTCAAACGGGGTTGCCAAGAATAAAAACTTAACACTTTAGGTACTGTTTCGACGATACATAATGGTTTTTGGCTTGATTGATAGTGTTGCAATCCAAAATCTCTGCTGAACTGGCTAAGTCCTGTCACGTATGGGTTTAAATTAGTTACGCTATGTTATTTTCTCCTGATACCATACTTTAAACCAAAAAATAGAGCGTCTAAAAGTTTTTAAATTTACAATCACCCAATTCTCAAACACTTTTGCAACTGATGCCGATATATGTTATGATACCATGATTTAGAACCATGTCGCCGCCACCACTACCCCACCATGAATACCACTGTTATAACAATACTTTTATGGTTGCAATCAAATATATGAAAACGTGTTTTTTTACTACCGATACAAACAGAACATTAATATGTATATATATGTGTGTGTGTTTATTCTTCATTTTACTCTTTAAATTCCAGGTGCAGATCGTAAGAAAATTAGAAAAAATATCATCATCAGCTCTTCGATAATTTCTGGGGTTCTTGTTTTGGGTGGCTTCATATTTGGTTTCATCAGGTGGAGGAGAGCCAACCGAAGAGGTAAGAAAGGTTGTTGTTTGTTACATCAATTACATTACATTCATCAATCACTTCATGTTTTAGATTTAGTAAATCAAGTGTGAAATATTCATTTCTCCCTGGAAACTTGTACTAAAGATGTGGCTATCAATTTAATCTTTAAATATGCTAGGGTAAATTATATAAATAGTTCCAGTAATTTATACGATATGCTAATTTGGTCCATGCTATTTTAATGCGCTTGATTTTACTCCTTAATTTAACGGATTGTGTCATTTTAATCTAATAAATAACGGTTGTTAAGTTTGGTGAACGGAAAGTCAAACTATGTGTCAATTTGGTCTTTGTAGTTTATACAATGTGTCAATTTGGTCCCTGTTAAAATCGAGCAAATTAAATAACAAAGACCAAATTGACACATTGTGTAGACTTTCCGTCCATCAAACTTAACAACCGTTATTTATTGGACTAAAATAACACAATTTGTTAAATTAAGGGGCAAAATCTAACAAATTGAAACAATAGAGATCAATTGACACATCGCGTAAACTATAGGGACCATTTGCATAATTTACCTAATATGCTAACTGCATTGAATTAGAACATTAATAAAAATAAAAATAAACACAAAAAATTATATATATTGTATGACTTAAATTTTCAACATAGATAGATTCAATAAATCAAACCGAACACATCCATTTATTCCAGGGATGGCAATTTGTCCCACCTCAACTAGTCCTAGCCCGAGCATCCCACCCAGACACTTGGGTTTTTCCTCTCTTCATAAGAAACTAAAGAGGGATGAGATTTATTTCTCCGGTCTCATTTCTCCGGTCTCTTCATAAGTATCATTACTGTATTTTTAGTAACGAAATTGAACATTTAATAGTGAATTACTATTTTTGTCTCAAAAAGTAAACTTTTTGGCACAAATTATTTGCATCTTAAAAGTGCATTTATTAGTTACATTTTCAAAATTTTGTTGCTAAAATGTCTATTTTTTAAAAAAATATATATTTTCATGACAGCTAGAATTTTCCCCCAATATTTTTTTGGCAACAAATTTGTTACTTTTGAGGACAAAAAAAAAAAAAAAAAAAAAAAAAATTTTAGCTCTAAAGATGTGTCAAAGCAAAAAAAAAAAAAAAAAAAACAGAACAAAAAAAAACAAAATTGATGTCTAAAACCCATATATGTTGCAACGATTTCAGAAATATAGTACAATAAAATTTCAGATTCTTTAACGCGAATGACACTAAATATTCCAATCCTCTTAATCATGAATCCACGTATGAGAAGTCTAATTGCTTTTATGTTATGTGGTCCTGAATATCAGTAATTAGAAGAAAGAGGACAAAAAGCTTCCATTTTGGTAACAAAATGGACTCTTCACGGGACACCTCAGAAGATAATATATGGGTGAACAATTCTACACATCCAGATTCATCAGAGCTTCCAATGATCGACTTTGATAAAATTCTAGTTGCTACCAACAGCTTCTGCAGAACAAATAAGCTCGGAGAAGGAGGATTTGGCCCGGTGTACAGGGTATGCAATCAATTTTTTACTTTTTAAGTATGTGACGCTAAATACATGCATGCATCGGTGACATATATCTATGTAGTGACTAATTAAGATCTTGGACAATAGGGAAAGCTAGAGGATGGACAAGTAGTAGCGGTGAAAAGACTTTCGAGTCATTCAGGACAAGGCGCAGAAGAGTTTAAGAATGAGATCTTATTGATCTCCAAACTGCAGCATAGGAATCTTGTTCGGCTCTTGGGTTGCTGCATTGAAGGGGAAGAGAATTTACTGGTTTATGAGTACATGACAAACAAAAGTTTGGACATGTTTCTCTTCGGTTAGTTTTACTTCAGAATTTTTGTTTTTGTTTTCTATGAATTTAATACAAAACAAAAATTTACATAGCATGTTTATTTTTGTAGATTGGAGGTTCCCATAGGAATTTTGTATATTATTGACAACGATCTCTATGTTTTCCCATGTACTTTAAAAAAAGAGGCATATTATCCAATTAATACATTGTAATTCCATCCTCAAAAAATAAAATAAAATTTTTATAAGAAATAGAAGGTACACACATTTTAAAAATCAAACATCAAAATTTACAAACTCCTCTTTCTTCCTGTCAATTGTTCATAACTCATCTATAGTTGTTGTTACTATGTCAATCAATGAGGAAAAGTATCATAACTTGTGTGGTCAACATTGTTTTCATTTTCTCATTGATAGTAAATTGTAGAGAGAGGACTGACCATGGTGAATTAATCTTTTCGACTCATGCTTTTGGTTAGATTCGAAGAAAAGGGTGCAACTTGATTGGCCTAAACGCTTCCACATTATTCAAGGTATTGCTAGAGGGCTTCTTTATCTTCATCGGGATTCTTGTTTAAGGGTTATTCACCGAGATCTGAAGGCGAGCAACATTCTTTTGGATAATGATATGAATCCAAAAATTTCAGACTTTGGGTTGGCACGAACTTTTCAAGTCACGCAAGAGCTTGCAAACACTCGCAGGGTGATGGGAACATTGTAAGGATCCTTTCTTTCCTCCATAGATTCTATTATCTGACATCTATGCATACAGTTACTAAAACAGAATAGTTCCTTTTAATGATTCAATAAGTACTTTTTTACTATCCCTTCCTTTTTAATTTCAAAATAGTTCCTTTCCTTTTATTTATTGGAAGTCTTATAATATCATGTAAGCATAAATGTAACAATTCCAATCAAATGCAGTGGGTACATGTCTCCTGAGTATGCAATGAGAGGACTATTTTCAGAAAAATCTGACGTCTTTAGCTTTGGGGTTTTGCTTCTAGAGATTGTCTGTGGCACGAGAAATACTAGTTTACACTATCATGAAAATTATCTGAATCTCCTTGGTTATGTAAGTGCACTAATTTCACATTAACTTGCTTTCAAACACTTAAGTCACCACCAAAATATGTGGTTATTTTAATTTCGTATATTGACTTATGTGGAAATATTCCAGGCATGGCAATTGTGGAGTGAAAATCGGGCAATAGAGTTGATGGATGAAACATTGGCGGACTCATGTTCTCCTTCAGAAGTAGTAAAATGTATACATATTGGCCTTCTTTGTGTTCAGGACAATGTTATAGTTAGGCCAACCATGTCAGCTATACTTCTCATGCTGAGTAGTGAAATGGAACTTCCACAACCAAAACTGCCTGCATTTACTATTCAAGGTTTGTCGGACTCTGAGCTTCAATCACAATCCAACAATATATGCTCCACGAATAACGACTCAATATCAATTATTGAAGGGCGATGACCAATTTCCAAATTACACTTTGTGTAAGATGGTTCAGAGCAAGAATTTGTCTGCCTTGGTGATTAATGAGCAAAAATATAGCAAACTTTTTTATGGTGAAGAGAAGATCATGCGAAAGAAACCATTATGTGTAGGGAGTTTTGGATTCATATGAACAGTTCAATGACCTGTTCACACCTAATGAGATTTTAGGTATTATAAAAACGGAGTGGCTTCTTTCATGTTGGGGCTAAAACTGAACCAAACAGTCCAATCAATTCCAAGCAATTGTTTGTTTTGCCAAAATTGTGTACAATGACTTTAATCAAGAATGGTTTGTACATATTATGTTAACAATGTATATTTTTTGGTCGCAATTGCAACATTATAGGACTTGCATTTTAAATAAAAAGATCATGTGGAAATAAATTATTAGTATTGTTTGTTTGACTTTAAAGCAAGTGTAAGAAAAAAAAAATTCCTATTAACAGAATTAATCGTTCTGTCAAGTCTGATATGGGTCAATATTTTTTTAAAATTTTCAGAAAATATCTTTCTAATTTTTTTAAACCTCAAAGGAGGTGAATATTTACCTTAATTTAATCTATTTTTTTGTATATAAGTTTATCTATTTGGGGCAAAAATTATATGTTTGTTGCACTCATAAATTTATGTTCGGATCTAAATGAATTGGCTTTTTTAATTTATTTATTTATTTTATTTTTATTTATATATATATATATATCAGCAAAAGAATTTTATTGATGATAAAAACCATGTACAAAACATTGTGTTTACATACATCAATAAAGTAAGGCCAAGTGCTCCAAGCATCAGAGCTAGAACTCCCCATCCTAATTAGGTTGGCACCAAAGAGCAAGCCAAATCATCTGCTAGCACCTGACAAATTGACGAGAGACCAAATCAACAAAAGAAAACAACTAGCAGCGACAATCTAACATCAACCAGCCACAATCAAAGCTAAATAAGGCAACTAGCAGCAACACTACACCAGCAAAAACAGGATGCAGCAGCAGGGGATTCACAGCTTCCAAAATTCAACTTGATGGCAATCTTCTTCTCCTTTATCACTTGATACATTTCTTGATCTGTGTTGAAGAATCTCTTCCCACCAGATTTGACTTCATCCACACGGTCACTCTTACCTTGATGAGATCGCAAAGTTCTTCAAGGTTGGGCTGGAGCTCATTCATTTCTGTGTTTCCACACAGACCAAAAAGTTGCTGGTGGGATTGCTTTCCATATCTGCAGTTCCCCTTTTTTAAACTTCCATATACACCAACAATGAAGCAAGCTTTCCACTGTAACTGGTACAGCCCATTGCACTCCCCACCATTTGATGATGCTAGACCAGACTTTCCAAACAAATGAGCAATGTAGCATTATGTGATTTACTAATTCATCCTCTGTTCTGCAAAAGCACAAACTGATCCCACATTTGCATCAACCACCCAATTTTGTGCAAAAAAAAACAATTGTCTTTATTCTTCCTTTCCAAACCAACCAAGCAAAGAATTGAGCTTTTGGAGTTGCAACATCATTCCAGATTAAACCAGGTAAGCTTTTCAGAGCTCCATTATTCAGCTCATACCATTTGAACACTAAATTCACTTTGAAACAACCTGAACCATCAGCTTTCCATCTGATGTTGTCCATGTATGTAATTTTTTGTAGGTGGATCTAGATGGATCAAATAATTATACATTGTATACTGTTAAATAAATTATAAGTAGTGTCGGTTAGACTCATTAAATTGTGATCCATACAGAAACAAGATCGGGTCATGGACACATCTCTAATAACACATATTTTTGATTATGTTGAGTGCACTAAAGGAGTATGGGCTGAACTATATGTTTAGAGACCAGTCTAGGCTCACTTGTAATTTCATTATTTATGATGGGCTAATATAAAATTAAGACTATAAATATGTGGTTAAGGTCTCCACTCCAACCCTAGCCTCCATCTCATATTTTCTCTCATCAGTGTGTGAGAGATAACAAGAGTAGGGTTCTAAAGTAGAAGACAATAACTATCAAGAAATCTACTGCTTGAATTACCATCAATAGCGTCAGGTATGCAATTATAATTATTTTTTTCTATTATGTCACGCCCCAATTTTAATTACTCGGAAATATTACCAAAAGCCTATAAATTAGGTCAAATTTTTTATTTTATTTTAAATATCTATTACCATTGAGTAACAGAAACATAATAGTACATGTTCTCTCTCATGAAGAATACAACATTAATAATAATACATGCCAAGCTCCCACTTCAGAGTTACAAATAAATAAATACAAGCATTAATGTTTAATAAGATTACACATAAGAGGCACATGAACTTCTTAACTCTCTAACCAATCAATCCGAATTCTTTTCCGGTAAGAAAAATGAAACAACGAGGGGTGAGCACAATTGTCCAATAGAAATCTCATAGTTCAAAAACAATAACCATCCTATAGATAGAAATGACCATGCATGCAAGGTGATACCATATAGTACGGTGACATTTTGTAATTTCAAAATATCATACGTAGCGTATCTTTTTCTCGAAACTTATTTGAACACTTAAGGAAAAACCTTAGACCATCAAAAACAATCCCTTTCGTTAGAAAACCATAAATCCTTTTTGAAAACAAATATGTTTAAGGAATGACATCATTTTAAATTTATTAACCAATTATAAAATATTCCTCATTTACTTTCCATCTTAATATTTTTCCTTTTTTATTTCCATTTTTCCTTTTTTACTAATTACATTAATTATAACATCATAACCTCAAGTTCAAGTTCCCTTAATACTCAAAATAGCCCTCACACTCTCCATTCCCACCGGTCTATTCACATTTGTTATAACTCCTTAATGTAGAAATCCAAATCTCCACTATATTCAATAACAATTACATCACATCTACATTTGCATTATCAATTATAATCCAACATATTACAACTACATCACATCCACATTTGCATTATTAATTAGAGTTCAAACATAACATAAGAATAACAAACCCTTTTTAATAGAACGTCTCAATTATTTACAAAACAAAACTCATAATTTTCCCTTATAGTCACAAGCAATCCAGTGAGTCTATCATTACCAACCTTTAATTCAATTACCATCTCATTTTCCATTCTTTCAAATAATGTCATATTAAACACTGGATCCATTAACAAGTCATCTCCATGAGTCACACGCTTTACCGATCACAAGCCGGAAGGAACACGGAACCTCACGCTTTACCGGTCACAAGCCGGAAGGAACGTAGAATCTCTACATATCCCAACATATCACATGCTTTACTGGGCACTAATCCGGAAGGAAGGCGGAACCTATTTCGAGCACCACGCTTTGCCGGCTCAAAATACGGGGGGAAACGGACCCCGAAACAACATTAGATTCCATAAATTTTATCAAGTCATCCGTCATTGAGATTAGTGGGCAAAGCCAACACATCATCCATTATTCCCGTAACACATTAGTTGAAAACGCATCCACCATAAGTTAAAATTCCACTTACATAACAAGTACACATTATGTTCCACCACCTTTTTCTATTACCTACCAAGTCATTCACGTGTTCATAATTCTTGGGTTCAAACTTTTTCTTTGCTCTTCCATATTATTATCAAGTCTTCCAAATCAATTTTCACAACACATCGATTGTCAATTACTACGTGAGGCTATAAATTAAATCTCTAGCATTAATTTCTTTGATACAACTCCTTCAATTAACACCGTCATATTTCACAATCTCCCATTTATTGTTACTCACATGCATCTTAACCCAACCTTGACTTAACACAATTTAACATAACTCAATGCAATTCAACATAATACAATAAGATTCTTAAATATTCACTTCATCATTTTATCACAATTCGTGCATCATCCTTACCATTAGTAATTTTTTTCCCCAAGTTTGGTTTCATATTATAACAAAATTTAAAATATCAACATTATGAGTTCAATCACAACTTTTACATAAATTTCTCAAATTCTTTAAAATTTTAATTAAACTTGTACGTGTGTAATTTAACACCTCAATTTCATGATTCTACTATTAATTGAAGCAGCACCATTAACCATCTTCATGAGCCGAACTAGGGTTTTTAAGAGAAATTAAAGTTTTTCACAAAAACACATTTTATTCCAACCCTACTATTACTTTTACACCCAAACTCATGACCCAGGATCATAACCCAACAAGTGAACCCAACTCTCTTCAAACCCTAACCCCCAATCTCATGATTCGTCACAATATGCATAAAAATATAAACTTTTGTATTTATATAAAGAAAATACCACAAATCTATCTATAAATGAGGGTATTGAGAGAGAACTAGAAACCCCTACCTCTTGAAGCAAGAGATGACGACCCAAAATTCACCGGCGACGAAACCATGAACTATTCAGATCAAAATGAAGCCCTTGACGAGATCTACAATCTTTCTCAAAGGACCAAGATGAAAAGATCACTCTAGGTGCACTCTAGGTAAGTAGATCTAGAGATATTGGTGAAAAAACTTGAGTTTAGAGTGAGAGAGAGAGGAGAACTCACGGTTTGAGAGGAAAAAGGAGAGGAAAATAATGAGAGAGAAGTGGTTTGGGTCTATTTATAGTAGTAGAAAATAGCCCTAAGGTCAAATAAAATAATAAGCCCAAAACCCCACAAAGGTAGGGCCCATTCGGACCCATAAAACTGAAAATAAACCCGCAAGGGTCGACCCCTGGTGTGGTGGTGTCAACCCTTCAGCAAGAAAAGAAAATGCTGGCATCAAGCAAGGTGTCAACCCTTAAACAGGAAGGGTCGACCCTAAATTCCAACAACTAATACCCAGATTCTACAATATACAAGGGTCGACCCTTCCCAGACTGGCGTCGACCCTCATGGACAGTAACAAAAGGCAGGTGTCGACACCACCAATGCTGGTGTCAACCCCAAATTCCAGCAACACCTCCAAAAACTTCACCAACAGGTAAGGGTCGATCCTTAGGAAAGCTGGTGTCGACCCCAAAATAGAATTTCTAAGTTCCCAAGGAACTTTTTGACAAGAACAAGCACAAACAACCAAAACCAACGAGTTTAAATCGGATCATACTCCTCCAAAACCAACATTCAACAACTCCAAAGACTCCCAAAAAGAAAATAAGGGAATTAAATACACACTCCAATGGATTAAAAGATGCGGGGTGTTACAGGTTAATACAATAAATCCTCGTAGTCAATCTATACCTGGAGTAGAGCTATTTGACAAAACGAGTGCTCGCACTCAAAAATTTCAATCTAAAAAGGTTAATGTAAAACAATTATCATGGCCTAGGAAATGGATTCTTTGAGAAACTTCGGATTGAAAAATATTGAAAATTTAACAATTCAAGCAAAC